TGTGTGAGACAGTGTTTCTCATTTGCTTTGTTGCCTCCAGTTGTAAATCAAGCATGTAAGACCAGGCACTGGGCTAGGTGCTTTATATAGTGTACTGCATTTACTCTTTATTACTGTAGTAAAGGGTTTTTTGCTTCAGTTTTACAGATGAGGAAAGCAGTGCTCAGAGAGGTTAATCATTTTTCTCAAAGTCACTCAGTAGATAAGGAATTCCTTGTAAGCTAGAAATTAAATGGACATCTATTTGTCACTAGAGCGCAAGCTGCTTTTCTCTTCAGTTGGAAGCTTGTTCTCTGTCTAGTGAGGGACAACCGCCATGGGATCCTGTCTACCCACTCAGTCTGTGCTGACGCATCATGAACTGTTCTATTTGTCCTGTTTGTCAGTTTCTTTCTCTTCCTCAAATGAATAACCCAGCACAGAGTAGAACAGTGGAATATGGAGGCTTCAGAGAAAGTGGTTTCTTTTTCCTCTTAAAGCTGCATATGTAAAACTCCTGTGCTAGCTCAAGTGGCTCTTTTGGGTTCTGTTACTGGGGGGTGAATCTCTCAGAATCCTGTAGTCTCCTTCATAATGTGATACTTATTCCCTGTCCTCAACAAAGTTTGATAGTTCAGAGTGGGTGCTTCCACCCATCTGGCCTTTAAGAAGGACTCCTGGGAGGGAGAGACTGCATTTCCCCTCAGTCCCTCTCACCAGGTGGTTTGCCTTTGATGTGACCAGCAAGTGGGATTTGGGTTCAAGTTCCTGCAGGCATTGCTTTGAGGACATCCCAAAAGATGGGCCCAGGCTCAGCTTCTTCCTTGGGGAGAGCTGCTTATCGTCAGAGGAGTCCACCAGCAGGCTTTGGCTCAGGCAGATCCAGTCATGAGTCCATTTTGGGCAGTTCAACCACGCCCTTCTTATGGCGGACCAGGGCAGTGCTTAACTCTTGGGGTTGCTGGTACCTCAGACATGCTTATTTTTGATGGTTCTTCCCCTTGCAAGTCAGACTTGAGGTGCACATTTTCCTTTACTTTAAAAACTGGAATCTGACAAGTCTAGCGAGGTATGTTTCTCAGGTGATTTCATAAGTAGCAGTATTTGAAACCTGCCATGAAAAGATAGGGTGACGCTGATTTGGCTTACTTGACTGAGTGAAATATTTCATTCAAAGAAAGTGATGGCAGACAGCAGAGCCCATGTTTTTGAAGAATACCTCTTCAAAGGTGTTTTTTAAGAAACAGATTGAAACCAGAAGTCTGTAACTTTTAGTATGCAACCTGTTTGACTTTTTATCATTGGGGGAAATTTTTCTGCTAGAAGCATTGGAATGTCCTTGGTAGCCATGGAAACTCACTCTTCAAAGAGAGAGCCTCTCTTCTGTCTTTAGACAAGGAGATATGGTGGAGAAAGGTGTATTTCACTTTTAAGAAGTCTGAAACTCTCTGTTTCTATCGATGACTTTTTAGGCTTGCACAGGGCTCTTGCTGTCTTTGTTTTGTTTTTGACAACAGTTGGTATACCTTTTAGGTGTTAGAAAGTTACCTGGGTATTTGTGGCCAAATATGTCCAATGCAGATCCTACATACCTCTTTTTTTGACATCATCATTAATGTAAAACCTGAACCTATAAAGCCCTTTATTCAATTAATTTAATCTGTTCTTATTGAACAACTGGTAATGGCCAGGGTGATGATAGGAGACTGATGCAGAGATAAGATGGACACAGTCCTTCACAGACCTCACAGCCTAGTATGTAAAGGAAAGTGCTAAATAGCAACTGCAGAGCAATGAAATAAATTCTACATAAGTGAGACTCTTACACAGGAGACTCTATAAAGACATTAGAGAATGGTCCTTGTGTGCCGACCCCCACTGAGTAGGGTGATAGCTGGAGGAGCAGTGGAGACTAATTTAGAGAACAGCACACACACTGGTTTGGAGCGGAAAGGGATCTCCATGCCTTTGTGAAAATGAACATTAGGATGGCTGGAGTAGAGAGTTAAGGAGTCAGAGGTGGTCAGAAAGAGATCAAAGAGGACCACACAGATGAGGCTTTTGTCCACTCTGTCCCAACTCCCATTCCTCTTGTGGAGCATGCGTGCCCCGTGTCCCCAGTACCTGAGGTTTGCTCTGGACAGCTCAGCCTACCCCTTAAAAGCTAGGAAACACCTACTTTGAGAATGGTTCATCTTCCCAAAAGGTGGAAACTGTTTTCTATTTAAAGCATCTGCACAGACTTCCACATCAGTAAAAGCAGCCAAGGATATGAAAGGGGATGATGGCTTTGAGAGAATCTCTTAGTACACCCAGACCTTCCTGTACAGAAAAGTTAGGAGGCACTGAACCCCGTTACAAAAGGATTCACCGTGGGATTTATTTCAGTAATGAGTTCCCAAAGAGCAGTCATAATGTGGTTTCATGATTAGAAATGTGATTAATAAACATTTCTCTCATCATGTTTACTGTGTAAGCAAGGTTTTTCCATTTTGTCTTCATCCTCTGCCAGGCAATGGGCCCGCATTCTTGGGGGCCGGTGCCTGACTGCCACAGGTTTGCCTTTTTTACCCTCCATGGACTTTGTCTGCAAAGGAGCAGATCTTACTGATGGGGTGCTGTAGTCCCAAGGCGCACAGCCCCATTCTGGCCTGGTTGTCTCATGCAGAGAAACGTGCTTTGGCTGTTCCTGTATTTTTGTGGTTGAGGGGAAAATTGGAGCAAAGCCAGTGACCTCGATGAACTTTGAACTATTGCCACTAATTAAGATTTTTTTGTGTGTGAAACATTACACACTGTTAACTTTTTAACAAAGCACCTAGTTTACTTAAACAGAAACCGAACTTACGTACTCTCCAAGAAATTAGATTTATATGTAAAATTATTTTTGAACCAAATTACTTTTTCATTCTGTTTTTTTTTTTCCTTTTTGTCTGTGTAGGGGAAATAATTTAGGTCTAAGGAATCCTGGCCTCCACTGATAAAAATCAGTGGTTACTTTTTCAAATTCCCCCTACTCTTTGCTTTTTTATAAATGCTGCTTTGGTGGGGTTTTGTCTGTTTCGTTGTAAATTTCCGAGTCCTCTGTTTTAGTAGAAATCTGAGTCCTTGTGATTCTGTTGGCCTTGATCACCAGTGGTTTTTATTCTGGTTTGTTTGTTCTCTTTCTCTCTACCCTTCTCTCCCTCCCTCCTCTCTTGCCTCCTTTTTCCTACATGCCTCCCCCTCCCACAACATAAATTGCAGAGCATGTAGTTACTGTAAATTTTATTTGTGTGGGTTTGGTTAAGACAAATAGCATATAAGTCCCCACCTCCTCAGCCCCCTATCTCTTAAATCAAGATGATTTCCAGTGGCCCATTTATTTTATGGGGCATTTGAAAAAATAACAAATTCCAGAGCAAACTGTGTGTCCTTTTGCATTTGTGGTAGTCACGTTTGACCTGCGTGGCCACGTGTGTGCCATGGCTTGCTTCCGGCCAAGGGCGGGCTCTCCGGTGGTGTCGGAAGAGCAGGCTCCCAGAGCTTGGGATGTCAGGCCCTGTCATCTGGGCAATGTCAGGGTGCAGGCCATGCTCTGCAGTGTCGGGGGGGCACGTGCCCAGCCCTGGAGACTGCAGAGGGGCTCCTGGCAGGGCAGGCTGACTGGTTTCAGGTAGTTTCTCTTTGGCTTATGTGATGGTGATGGGGTACTTCTCGGTTCAACACAACGACCCCACCTCTCTATACCTTTCCCTCCACCCGTCTCATTGCTGACAGCATATCTATGCCTTGCAAATCTCACTTCTGTCCAAATAAGTAAATGTTATGTACCTGCTCAGTATTAGGCCACTCAAAATGGTCTAAAACCAGCTCAGATGGTTTATATAAATAGCTTTGCTATAGGGTATTGGTAATAGTAACTTATTTAAAATAAATGGGCCATAAGACGTGCTGGCTGTGGGGTGAAGGGAAGGTAGAAGGATGGCAGGTGAAAGTGTGTCAGAACCAGGGGTCTGTGTGTAGAAGCGGCGCTGCCTGTAACCTCATCTGCTTTCTTAGCAGCTTTGCAACTTTACTTAATAAACCCTTAACTCAGATATCTTGGCTCCTATGACAATTCACGGTTGGAAATACAGATGGTTCCTTGTATATGAAAATCGGGAAAACATCCACCTGACTCTCAGACTTGCCTGAGCAAATGTGGAATTCTGTACGTGTGCACAGATATAGGATGGCAGATATGAAAGGTACACAGCGAACGGTTGGGAACAACACATGTGCCAGGGCCGTTCCAGGGCAGGTGTTCCCATAAATGGGCAACAAATCATAATGCCTCTTCACCTCCTACAGGAAATACTTTAGGGGGCAAGATCATGGCAAGAAGTATGGGTTAAGAAAACCGTAGTGCTTCCCCAGTGCTGTTTCGGGTCTGGGAAGGGAGAACGGGTCTGGAAGTAGGTCTGCCCTGCCCCTGCCAGTGATCTGGCTGGACATGCAGGTGGTGGGGTGTGGTGCCTGGTGTGGGTGCCCAGAAGAACCACTTTCTCCTCAGGGCTCTTGCTTTGAACAAAGAGGTCAGGATGCCAGAGGAAGGCTAAGTTTTATCTGAGCGTACCGCAGAAGCCCTAAACTTGGTGCTCTCTCTGACTGCAGCTTGGCTCTCCTGGTCCCTTCTCTCTGAAGTGTGAGGCTGGCTCTCTGAGGAAGCTCTGGGGGAGGTGGGGCATCCGAGTCCAGGCCCCTGGTGAGGGGATTCGAGAGGCCTGCCCTGACAGCACTTGTGGCTTGGGCCCAGGCTCCTTGGGGGTCACTAATATGCTGAGGGAAGTTCACGTCTGAGGAACAATGCATGTGTGTTGGTGTGGTCTCTGCAACTCTGACACCCACAGTCTTGCTTGGGGAGACACTGTCCTCTGTCCTGTCCACGTATGTGGCCTTTTGCTGTGCTCGTGTGGCTGTACTCAGCACCCTGTGTCCTGCCACGAGACTGCATCCCAGAGGGTGTCCTGACATGTGCTTGTCCTCTTTGCCTCCCCCAGAGAATTCTCAAAAGAAAGAGAGAAGGCTAAAGCGCGGGGAGATTTCCAGAAGCTCCGGGAGAAGCAGCAGCTCGAAGAGGATCTAAAGGGCTACTTGGATTGGATTACTCAAGCAGAAGATATCGATCCTGAGAATGAGGAAGAAGGTGGAGAGGAAAGCAAACGAAATAGTATGTAGCCCCCTCCCTGCTCTTGACGAGAAACGGGTGTGAGATTCCGACGCCTGGCCCAGTGCTTCTTACCTCCAACCCAGCTTGTGAGGTGATGCCCCCTCAGCCATCCGGCTCCTTCTGCCTGCATATCCGAGAGAACAAGCACATTTATACTGACCCTGAATTTCCGTCTGAGGTTCGGGCTTAGATTTGTGTATAGTCTTTGTAGCCTGGTGGTTGAGGAAAGTTAACCAGACTCACCTTGGGGGTTTGGGAATCCCCTTCTGTGTAAGTACAAGGCCTGCTAGGGCATTTCACTTTGTGCCTCAGCAGGCAAAGTTGGATTCCTCTACTTAAGAGTGGGCAGGCTTGTTGGACCAGAAGAGCAGGGCCCTCTCCAACCTTCTGCCATCAGCAGTGGCTCCCACTGTGCTCGCCCTGGAAGCCAAATGCCTGGCCCGTCAGGTCTGGGGAGGGACTGGTTTACCATCTGGGCAGTGTTAGGAGCCTTGCGGGTCTGCATGGCTGCTTGGGAACCACCCACCTGGTGTCCCACCTGTGATGCTCGGCACCCGAGGGCATTCTCTGCAGTGAGGAGGCCCGGAGCTTGCTCACTCAACCCCTGGAATGAATTACCACTGTCAACCGAGGTGCCTTTTGGCATAAATGCTTTCCCTCAGGTGTGCTCTTTCTCTTCTCTGAGGCCGTCTTGTATCAGGTAAAAGTGGGGATTGACTTTCAGCCGTGGATTTGACTAGGATGTTTGTGATTTGCTTCTACTGCAGAATGGTCAGTAATAAAGACCAAGAATATACTCAAGGAATCATGCCCATCTGAGAGGCCCACCTCATGGAAGGGGGTAAGCCCCCCTTGAACAGAGGCCCTCCAGGCTATGCAGCCACTAGCTTCCCCTTCTTGTAGCAAGCTGGATGTCGGGAGGACTGCTGAGATGGATAGGACACAGCACTCCTTTTAGGCCTGCAGACAAACAGATGCAGGTCACGTGAGGAGCAGACATTGTGCTGGATGGCTCAGAGGAGGAAGGGCTGGCCGCAGGGGGAAAGAACTATGGAGGCAGTGACCAAGCTCTGTCACAGCTGAGAACAGGGTCGGGAAAAACTTCCTGACCCAAGGCAGTGGCACAAGGAGGACAAATTCAAGGCTTGGGTATCAGGCTAATGCAGGTCTTGGGAGGAAGTGTGGGTGGGTGGTGTGGCTGGAGCTCAGCAGGTATGTGGGTCAGGGTGCCATGAAGCAGGGAGGGTGGGTGGCACCATAGTGCCTGCTGTGCAGGCGATGCTGTGTGTTGGCTGAGAGACCATGTTGGAGGGGATTGTTGCCTGAGGTGGCCTTTAGGTTCCTTCCAGCCCAGCTGTGTGTGAGTCTTGCTTCAGTGGGGACGAGAATTGCTATGTTTGCGGGCGTATACTATTGTCCATGTATGCTAAGTACTGTGTGCTAAGAAGGCCAGCGGGATATAGGCCTGCCTCTCCTTGCTCCCTCCCAAAGCAAACAGCCTCTGTTGCAGCAAGGAGGAAGCTGGGTTACCTCCCAGGAGGAGGATTAGGAAACCAGGAGGGTTTCTAGGGCTACTGTGTGTCAACGATGAGATCAGGGTTTATAAGTGGACGGCTGTTTGATCTCCACTCTTGAGGTGTCCTCCAGGTGGCTAGGTGTGAGAACAGTGTCTGTCTGCAGCACAGCTCTCCCCGATCATGTGAGCCAGCCTGAACCCCCATGACCTATCTGGAGCTTCTGTGCTTACAGCATGCCTGGCAGCAAGCCCTTACGTGCAGCCTGGGGGATCCTGCTCTTTTCCTTTTCCTGCCCGGTGAGCAACATCTTGCGTGTGAACCTGTGAAAGTATTCCTTTGGCACTTGGGTGTGTGCTGTAGGGAGCTGATGGGACCCTTTTGCATCCTGATGGCCTTTTGTCTCCACGTTGCTCCACCTTTGGAAAGAGACAGCGATCCCATCCTGCCAGTGCTGCCATTATTGGTAGTTGGGGAGCAGTTTTTTTTTTTTTTTTTTTTTGACCGGTGACTTGAGGAGTAGGGATTTTCATTGGACTTGCATGGTCTTCTGGGGTCCTGAGGGTCCCCAACATGTCCTATGTCCTGCCACTGTCTGGAAAGATCTGATGAAGTTGCTGCCTCTGCCTTTGGAGACCTGGCCGTGGAGGGCAGGTGGAGAGGCAGTGCCTAAGCGTTGACAGGATAGACAAGCAGGAAGATAATCAAGGGCCAGCATCTGCGAGGAAGCCCAGAGGACACAGTGATGCTGTCTTCTGGGAATGCGAGGATGGCTCATGGGCAAGCTAGTGTTCCCACCAAGCTCCGAGGTCTGAGATGCTTTTCAGGATGAGAAAATGACTTGAGCAGGGTGCAAAGGTCACAAATCAAGGAAAGAAAACAAGTCCCTTTAAAAGTTGTGTCTTCTCAGAAGTCACTTTGTAACTGGAGCTCCAGCCTTCATAAAACTTCACTATTTCTGGAACATTCCCGACCATGTCTTTTCTGCTGCACAGCACAGCACAGCAGACCTAAAGAGGCTCATATGGTCCTCTTACCAAACAGTGGTTGATTTACCACCGGCACACTCCAGGTCTGGTCACTATCATCTGGTAGCAGGCAGTGAATTGTGGGCATTGCCCATGCCATTGTCCTCCCTGGGTGTGTGAGATCCATGTCCACACAGCCTACTCTCAGCCCTTCTGTGTTATCCAGGGGAGGGAGAGGCATTGCTTGGGTTCCTGCCTTATCCATGTTGCCTGACGATGATCCACTTAATGCCCCTTCAGCTGGGCCCTGGATAGCTTAGGGCCCTGTCCCCTCAGTCATCGAGGGATTAAGGGACAGTGTGAGAGCCCTTCCTGATGGCCAGCACTAGCTTCGAGGAACAAAGGCGAGTGTCAGAAGCATTGACAGCAGCCTGTATAGTCATGTGCCCACAGGGGCTGGGCAGGGCTGGAGGGCATTCTGACACCTCCTCTGGAGTTGATTGTGGATGAGTTTTGCAGCTTAAAACTTGGACATGAGTGTTAAGCACATCACCCAGCATCTCTGAACCCCAGTTTCCTTGTCTGCAAGAAAGGGATAAAGATATTTGCCCATAAGGTGGTCATGAGGATTAAATGTTTGAAAACTTGAGTCTTCACAGACGCAAGAGCACTTGCTATCTTGGTCTGATGACCAGCATGCTTGACCTAAATAGAATAATTTTTACAGATTCGACTAGACCTCTAACCAGCCTCAGGGTGAGGACCCTTTTAGAACTTTTCCCTTCAGAAACCATAAGGTTCTCATGCCTCATGGCAAACAAAGCTGTTGACTCCATCACTTTCAAGATTTGGAAGCACGGCCTCCGATGCTTCAAGACCATTTCTAGCTTGTCAATACTTGCTGTCAGAGAACAGATGTCAAAACAAGTATCTGAAGATGTGCTCATATTGCCTTTTCTCTCTGATCTACCAAAATGTCACTGTCTGAATCTGCGGTGCCCATCTCTGGCTGTCCATGACAGTCACTGGGGAGAGCACGTGTGTTCTGGGGACGTTCCCCACTTCCACAAGGAGAGTCAGTCTGTGGTGGGGCCAGGCCTGACTTTGTTGACAGCTCCCTGGAGGTTCCAATGTGAAGCCAGAATTGGGGACTCCTGGATGCTGTCACACTGCGTACTAGACTTGTCCAGGGTCTCTCTTGAGAGAAAACAAAAGGACAGGCAGCCAGGTCCCTAGCCGAGCTGTCTGCTTGCCTGAAGTGGCAGGTAGCGCTAGCTTTGTGCATTCTCTCACTATTCAAAATGTCAGTTCCATAAACTCGCTGTTAGAAAGCTGGTGTCACACAAATAAGTGCATGGACAAAATTCTCTTGGAAATTAGTTCCTGAGCATTTGGGAAATTTTCAAGAATACTTTATTTAACTTTTTGCTGAGCTTCAAGTTTCTTAAGAAACCCTGCCAAATCGCGAAGTGATTTTTTAGACGTATGCAGCTGCTTCTGAGTTAACAATGGAGTTTTTCTAGGGCCATTAAAATCTGGAAGTCTAAAATTCTATTTTCAACTCTTTTCATTGTCAGTGATTAGTCTTAAAAAATACCGTTAAAAATAATGAAATCATTTTAAAGGGAGCTCATTTTAAAATTCGGGCCAGAAAAGCAGGGCAGTTTCACTGAGGGAACTATTAGTGATCAGTAATCCCTGAAGTGGGGATATCTGGTGCCCAAAGAAGGGGAGGGGGTACCTGAAACCGCAGCTTGACCAGAGAAGAACCTGTCTCCTCTTGTTGGTGGTCCTGGTGGCCATAAGCACTATCCCTGCCTGCTGCCCCAGGACACTGCCTCCCCAGATCTTTGTGCACAACGTTGTCATAGCCAGTACCTCCCTTTCTCACAGGCAGCCTGGTTGCTTTTGACTGCTGTATTTGATCTGGGGGTAGTCAGATGACTAGGAATAGCATAACTGCACAAGCATGAAGCACAGAAACTTGCTGGCCCTATTTTAAAAGGTTGTGTCTTTAAAATTTGATTTATAAAACTACTTTTGCACAATAAACCACCTCAAGGTGTAAGTTTAAAATTGAAAACATTCTATTAGAAACTGTGAAGCACACAGCAGCAGCTAGAGCAGGTTCTGTGGCAATTGTGTGTCCAGGTCAGTGGCCCCTGGAGAGGCTGCTGGAGGTGGGAAGGCAGAGCGGGAAGTTCTGGTGTCTGGGTTGGTGGGAGACCTTGGCTCTGCTGTGTATGGGAGGGGCAGTGGGGGAGTTCAGAGGGCCCTCCTCCACTCTGAGTAGGCCTCCTAGTGCTGGTGAGAGATATATTGAGGGATGGTCATCCCAGCGTGGGGATCAGGAGGGAGCAGGAATGCCCACCAGGTATGGGAGTCCCAAGTCAGAGTTCTGTGTTTGTTTTTAATATATTTAAAATACAGGGGGGAATACTATACAGCTGTTAAAAATATGAAATAGTGAACTTTGAGACAAAATGGATGGACCTCAAAATGTTAAATGAAATAAGTT